AGGTGGTGGGGCTCACCTCAGGCTTGAGTTGACCTTATCCTCTAGAGGTCACAAGTAAATTAAAACATCTATATCATGTGATTTGTTGCCAAAAGTTTTGGAATTTTGGCTGGTAACAAATATTCTTATCAATATAAAATTACTATTTTAATGTAAATCAATAATTAATGTTACTGGAAAGGAGTATTTACAAATGATTATCAGTGGCGGTTGTAAAAGCTACTTTAATAGAAGGTCTTCTAAACTTCTGTTGTATCTTGACTAATTATTATAACTACGTAACTATTGTATCATATAAAAGTGAACGAAGTCAATTCTCTCATTACAGGAATATGAAATTCAGTAAAGCACACTAGTGGATCTACGGTGGAAGATCTTTCAGACTGAAGCTCACAAAATTGGTGATGCATATTCATTCTGATTGATCTAAGCCAAATACTTAAATAATATCTTTCTAGATCACGATGAATACTCAGCTAATAAATTCAACTATGTGTTAGTATAACAAAAAGTGTAAAATATAATAAATCCATCACTCAAAGCATTATTATTACGATAACTGTCCCTTCTTTTTTAAGCTTTTAGAACCTCTTGAACATCGCTTAATATAGGTCTTTTTATTTATTTTTTCAGATTAGGAAGCGTTACGAAAATGTTAAAATAAAAAAAAAGAAGCTATGTTCAAAAATTAAATCCATGATTCGTTAGTGACGAAGCACACATATATAATTATGCAGGATATTTTTATTCTAGTGTACTTTGCATTTTCAAACAGTTGCTAGAATTGCTTGATAAGCTGTATGATAAGCCGCAATTCTTAAGTTGGAGTGAACTTGGAAGTCAAACAAATTGTACAGTGAATAATGCTAGGCATGTCTATTCCTAGTTTTACTACCGCCCTAGAGCTATATGAGAATATCCTATTCCTCTACTTTTCTTGATCTACCAAAGAATATCCCATTCCTCTACTTTTCTTGATCTACCAAAGAATATCCTATTCCTCTACTTTTCTTGATCTACCAAAGAATATCCTATCCCTCTACTTTCCATGATCTACCAAAGAACATCCTATTCCTCTACTTTTCTTGATCTACCAAAGAACATCCAATTCCTCTACTCTGCAGACTCACCAGGTCTGAGGCCTGTCCTTGGGCCTCCTGACAGGACTGACACAGGACAACAGCTTGGCGAGGGGCGGTACCACGGGCTGTGACCTGGGTCTCCTCCTCCCCGGCCTGTCCTGGCAGAACCTGTCGTGGCCGGTGTACTCGGCAGAGCTGGTCGCCCGCCGCTTCACCACCGTCGTCTTGAACATGTCGCGGCAGACTGGTCTATCCTATCGCCGCCCCACCACCGCCCCCTCCCATCCCCTCTACCGCCCCCTTTTTACCCCACCTCCCGGTAGCATTATCTTAACACGGTCGAATTTTGCAAATTTTTCAGGCATTTAGTTTAATTTAATTATTATTATTATTATTATTAAATTGTATAAAATCTGGTTCGCTTCTGTAAATAATTCGCATAGCATCAGTAAAAGAAATGGCAATATAATAAAGAAATAAGTAAATGAAATGTATTTATTTCAAGATTAATTAACGTAAACGAGTGAAAACCCACCAAAAGACAGATATTGATAAGAAAAATTTCTACTCACAGACTTGTATCTCTAAAACACAGGTAAAGAATAATAAAATCATCATACGTACTTGCAATGTCATCCAAAATGAACTTAAATTGTTAAATATCCAAATAAATTCTACAAAAAGAGATTGTATAAAATTTCCTTTTCAAAAAAATAAGAAAAGATTACCTAAAAGATTTCGAGTTGGTGATTCATACAACAAAATATCAAATAATTTGGTCTATCTAGGAATGAAATTTGACAGACATTTAAAATTTACCGCTCATTGCACTTCAAAACTATCAAAAGCTAGACAAAAATGCTACAAATTCAGTCACCTTCTCACAACCTCAAACCTCAGTCTCAGATTAAAATTAATCATCTACAAAAGCATTCTTCGCCCTTCCCTTCTCTATGGTGCTCATCTATTGTCCCACATTTCCGAAAACATAAGCAAGAGACTTCAGCGATTCCAAAATGGAATTCTAATGAGAATAGCTAAAAATAAGACATTTGAAAAACAAAAATCAGATAGACTCCACGCCTTCTTAAATTTACCCACCGTATCTGAATTCATAAACAAAAGAATAATAAGATTCTACTATTCTTTAAAATATTTAACAAATGCAGAATTCAATACAATAACATTTCCGCCATCTCCTCGGCGATGGCAAAATATAGTTGTAAGTTAGATTATAAGATAGTCCTAAGAAAATTATCAAGATAGAGGTGATAGGACATCACCCAGATTGAAAGTCCAGAAATAAATATAAACAAAACTAAGAAAGGCTCAGCGAGACCTTAAAATGTATCTGAGATACAGTACAAGGAATATGTTAACCATGTGAAAGAAACAAACCTTTATGAAACTGGGGATAAGAAAAAAAAAAAAAAAAACGTACAGACTCCAAAATTTAATTCGGACAACAAACCTATCTTTACGCCTAAAGCTTCTAGTCCATACAAGTATAATAAGGACACCTCTGTTGTGTGATTCGCCTCTGTGAAACTGACAACAACTGAGAAAAGATTACAATATTTCCAAAATGGAACAATTAGAAAAATTGTAAGAGGAACCACGCTGCAGAGAAAGAATACATTGGATATACAAGCAACACTAAATTTATCAACAACAAAAGAATTTCTCGCAAAAAGTAAAAAATCATCCCAACAATTGGCAAACCCTCTTTTCAACAACTAATTACAAGCCAAAATTCCAACAAATCACATGATATCGATGTTTTATTAATTTAGTTGTAAGCTCTAGAGGATATGTTCAACTCAGGCCTGAGGTGAGCCTCATCACCTATTATATTACAGATGAAGAACAAAATACTCAGAAACGACAAAAAAAAAAAAAAAAAAAAAAAAAAATACACCTTAAAATGTTTTTAAGCAGTAAAAAAAATATTATGAAGACAATGAAAATTCAAGGATTCAATACAAAAATAAATAAAAAGGGGCTATGAAAAGAAAAAAAAAAAAAGAAGAAGAACGTTCCGCTAATTCAAGCGTAATCAGGACAGAAAAGAATACATATCAATCCATGAAATTCAAGTGAATAAATCTGAGTATGAGTTTGGATGTCATTGAGGGATTTGATTACCATAAATTGTATACTTGTTTAATTATAGGCAAGTAAAGTTTTCTTTTATTCATAATTTTTATTATAGCCTTTTCAAGGGTTTAGCTAATTTTTCACCAAATCTTTAACAAAAGCTGATCTTCAAAATGATGTCTCATTAATAGATTGTGATGAAGAACTTTAACTTTAGAATCAAAAAGAAGATATAACGAAACGACAAAGAATCAAACAGATAACACGACAGAAGTGAAAACATCAACAGGGCGAGTTTAATAATATGAAATATAAATTATAACAAATAGCTCATTATAAATAGGATGAAATGCTGAACAATTCCCTCACTTGCAGTAAGCAAGTCCGATTTTTAGTTTCTGGGATATTTTAATCCATATCTTCGATAAAACTTGTTACCATTTGGTTTTCGATACATTTTTTTCTATTTTCCTCTCTCTAACACGGCGTCGCGTTAAGATACAGTTTTGAATAATACATCATTACAAAGAGGATAAAATGGTAAACAATACGCAGTCCGATTTTTAGTTTTTGAGATATTGTAATCCATATGCAAAAACATTTCAACTAGTCACTCCAGCTGACTTTACCCGAACGTTACACATCGAAGATCTGACGGATCGATCTAATTCACTCTCCACAAAAAAAAAAATGCAAAGCGCGCTTAAAGAAGATGTCACTTCAAAAAACTCACAGTGAGAGGACAAGTGAAAAAAAAAATAATTCTTTAAGATTATTAAAATTGTTGAACCATGGCGTTACAAATGATTAACAGGTTAACCTGTTTTAAAAATTGCCACTAACCATATTTGTTTCAAAGACTTCCAATTCTGAAACCTCAATAATTCAAGAGTAAACAGAACAAGAATATGAAAAGCATAATTAATTGTTAAAATATAATGCATTTGCTGATTTTCGAAAGGAAAAATTAAGAAAACTAACGCTAATAAAAATGAAATAAGTGGCATATTGTGGAAGATTAACTGTTGTTTTCTCATTTCTTTTACAAATAGACATCTTCAAAAAAATTCAGGAACGGATAGAACCCTTTTAATATTTGAGGAATAAATTCCAAAAATAACAGCTGGGTCCAAAGTTCTCTTGGGAGATCCCAATCCATTAGCAGATGGCCCTTTGAGTCTACACCACCCGAAGGACAATAAGCTCCAAAAACTTTAGCCAATGGTTCATCTTCCCTAAATAATTGATGAAACGTGACGGTGCGGGGGTTGGTTTCTCGAGATAAAATAATAAACACTGAGACTTGAAAGTATTTCTATCCGAAGTAGTTGGCTTTAGAATTGTTTTGTTTTATCTCTTAGTATATTTACAGATTTTACCTTACATAACACGAAAAAGCGTATTCAGCCATATATACATATTTTTCTACATCACAAAGAGAACAAAAAGGTAGAAGAATAAAAAAAAAAATTATTAACATACATATATTAACTAAATTTACTTAAATTATATGATTATGCCTAACCTTCAGTTTTTTCCCTAATTAAAAGATTGTGTTAATATTTATTTTTCTTAATGAGAAGCAAATATTTTATTTTGGCCGTTACTCCGCAGAAGAGATATTTTGTTTCTGGATCAGAAGTTTCTTAACTCTCCATTTTCTGTTCAAATATTAATTAGCTAACTTGAATTAAGTATGAGTAATATTTTTTTTATCTTCAAATATTAGCCTGCACCTGTCGAAGAACTGTATAAATTAATTGTTTAGAAAAAAAACAACATAAAAAAAATGTATCTAAAAGTTTAACAATCTTATTTTAGGTTTTAGAAGAAATGGAGTTATGCATCTGAACGGAAAGACTTCGTGGCTCATATCTTTTCAAGGAGACGAGACCTAAGGTATCGATAGTAACAACGCGTTCCTTTGTTTATCGATTGAATCATCGTTGGATCAGCAGTTCCATTATTGGGTCGATAGATCCGCTTGATGTAGTCTCTTTATATTACAAGTGTTTTTATTTCTCAATTTTGAAATACAACAGTTTCGTAAGTAAGTATTTTCTTAACTATTTTATTTTTATTTTTCATGCGTATTGCGACCTCTTCCAGAAGTTTTAACCTTCCACTGAAATCAAGAAGCTTCTAAACAGAGCATAAATTGCTGTTCTGTTGATGGATTCCAGCGATGAGGTTAGCAATGAATTAGAAACATATCCTAGGCTAACTATAATATCTGAAGCATAATTTAAGTAAAACTGAAGCAGGACCGTACATACACACATTGGTATTTCCGTGAAGATCTCGTAAAGAAACAAAGTATCATAACTTTGTGGTACCAGATTGTAAACACATTATCTACGGCTGCGATAGTTATTTTCGGTTAATATAAAACCGTTTAATCTATTGGTGATTTTTTTTTTATTCCCAAATGTTAATAAAGTGAACACTTTTGTTGAAGAAAACTAAGTTCTCCAAACATCGTTTTAAACAATGCACGTCACATACACTGTAGCTGACAGGCGATAATACCCCCGAGGAACCGCAGGATAGCATTGCGACAAGACTACTCCTGAGATAATTAACCTACTTCTCGAGGAGCCAACGTTACGTGACGCTTGAGGAACTCTCCCATAGGCTGGAGATACTGGTAAGATAAACACCTCGCGTGCATGAAGGCTGTAGGGTTAGCTGTTATCAAAGATCAGATACTTCAGCAAGCAAGCCAAGTCCATCTAAATTTATGGTGGAACACATAATTTGTAATATTTAAAGTAATTATTTTCGAAATAGAAAAAAAAAAAAAAAGGAACTACTCAGAAACTAGTTCCCTCGCGAATAACAAACGTGTACAAAAAATATATATTATAGGCCAAACAATTTATAAGCGACAAACAATACATACTTTCCCAATATTTAAAAAAAATATCCTGAGAAGAAAAAAACAGAAAAAAATAAAAACTATAAATTGTTTCCAGAGTTAAAACTTGATTGCTACAACTGTTATCACTTCTAAGATGGCGTAAAACATAATCAATGTGTAATATCAGATTAGCAACTTTACCCGCAACCATATATAATTTTTTATATACTATGTATATAAGTTAATTGATTTTACTATTTATTAATATGGTATTAACATTCATATCTCATGCGTTAAATTTAAAATGTATTATTTTTCATTTGGTTTATCTAGACACATTCACAGTAATGACTACAAACTTACGCAAGTACTTACGGAACATGGGAACACAAAACAATATCTTAAAAGATTCAACATTATACAAACAGACTTATGCGATGAAGACGGACAGGTTCAAAATTTTAAACATATAATATATGAATGTAAACGATTTGACAGACAACGATTTGAGTTAATAAAAAGCATAATTATCAAAAGTGGAAATTGGCCTGAGACGGAACAAAAGTTATTTACTGAATTCAAGACAGACTTTCTTAGATTTATTAGATCGATCGATTTATTAACACTATTCGACTTACTAACCAGGGATGGGCCGCGTGGGTGATTTCTTTTCGGCTTTGTTGGATTGACTTTGTGTGGTGTGTTTAATATTTAATTTTCCGATTTAATTAATGTTTGTTTATTCTTTGTATTTTTGTTTGTTAATGTATATAAATTTGAACTAAAAATTTGCCATCAATTGAAGGCATTGATCAGGTGTAATGGGATTTAGGTTAATACAACACTATCATGAGGTTATAAAATTTAAAAAGGTTTTATTCAAAAACTTAATTTATACTTCATTGTTTGGTCGATTCCAAACGTTACTGGCATGATACTAACTACCTTTGCTTAGATTTCGTTTAACTTCCAGCCGTGTTATTAATTTTTACTTTGAGTTAGTAAAAAAAAAGGTCTTATTTGTGATTATATTCCAGCTTAAATTAGTTTTGTTCCAACTGAAGAAAAATATTGGTACTTCCGAACAAACAAAAAGTTGAAATATTTTCTATGGATTTTCGGATCCATTTATTTCACCAGTGAAAAACATATCTATTAAGTATATATTGCTAGTGTTAGTGCTAAAAGATATATGCATAATTTGTATTCTATTTGTGCTAAAGGTGACGTTTTGTAGTTTGCTACTGATATAGTTAGAAATGTACTAAGGAAATTAACAGAGGAAAATAAAATAAGAAATTATACTGATAAATCATAAAGAAATAATTAATTTTTAGTTAATTAGAAATAATTAGTTCACTAAAGCGTTAAATAATTTTTTTCGGATTAAATAATTTTTCAATACTGAATAGTAATTAGTTCCTACGCTATCCACAATTGACTGACTGCAAATACAATCTTCCAGAGAATCTTTTATAGTTTCCTTATAGAGACATCATTCGTCAATGTACAAGCTAATAAATAACTGTACATTAACGAATTATTTGGCGAAAAAAGAATAAAATAAAAAAATTATTTGAGCATTTAAGAATAATGCAGATAGTTTATATTTTCTGGCAATGACCTTAATAAAATAAGCAAAAAAAATAAGAAATAATATATATATATATATATATATATATATATATATATATATATATATATATATATATATATATAAGAAATATTTTATATAAAATATTGAACGCTTTCTGTATTAAATTTTTTTTTTAAATTTTAAAAAAATTTATAAATATTCTAATACATCATGCAATATGAATATTTATGGTATAATATTATTAAACTTTTATTAATAATATGTGAAGTTAATTTATTCATAAGTAACCACTAATTAATTCCCTTCAAGGTCAATCGGAAAATACATAATTTAAATGTTATTTATTATTACGCTACCTGGAATTCAAGCACTTTAATTACAAGCGACGTAAATCTTTTAATTAAATAATCTCCTTCGTAAAGTAATATGAAAGCATTCCTAAGTTACTGAAGTAATTTTAATGCCAAGCAACATTCCTCATATATTTCCTAGGAAATTTAATATAACTCGTTTTAGGTAGAACATCAGGTTGAGCAGTGGGCCTTGTATAATATTCATGTTTATTATAAGCAATGCCAAAGCTTTGTATGTATAATAAAACGGTGAAACTTAACATGCTGGCTGTATTTAATATAGGTATTTATTTTAAGAGTGCTTGAACTATACGACAGCAGGAAGGCAGCTGTTTCATTTTATTATATTTATTTTGTTTTCGGGGAATAGAAATAAAAGTGCTTTTATTTTTAAAAGAATTAAAACATTAAATTAAATGTAATCCTTGTTTTTAATGATTTTTGATGTATACATTACAAGGCCGGAGTTTTTAAACAACATATTTAATATGTAGCTAATTAAATACATTTAATCAATATAGTTACGTTACTGATGTACTAACGTATGCAGAACGTGTTAATACATATTACAAAAAAAAATTATGATCGGATGCGAAACAATAACTTAATAGCTTAATAGCTTTGAAAAAATTGTCTATCTATCTATATTATAAATTGTCTATGTTATTTACATAATAAAAAAGAATTATGCAAATAATTGTGAGATTATCATAAACTTTAGCAATGAGATTTGTTTCAATTTTATTTCTCAAGTTTATAAATGACATTAAGGGCCGAGTAAAAATCGATGTGGCATTGACTATTCAGACCGAACACATACAAATGAAGTGTCATTGTGACTATTTTTAAAACGACCTTGATTACTTCAGCAGAACATTTACCTATGGTTTTGTTTAAAAAAATATATATCAAAATTAATTTCTATTCCATTCAAAGAAATATTTCTATATCCAAGTAGAACATATATAAATAAATAGATAATAATGGAATGAATCATTATTCGTAGTAGGCTTAAAGAGATCAACCATTCATAAATTTTTGTAGGGTTCAATGCTCGTTTCCTCAATCGACAATCATCTATTTTAAATAACAAATGACACTAAATGAAAAAGAAGCATGATTATCATTAAAAAATTATGACGAATTTCCTGTTAAACAGAAAAAACTCAGAAAATGTTTCAATTTTGTCAGCATGCTAGAAAATACCAAAAACTTAGGTTGTGTAATGCGATTAAAATTATTACTTTTTAAATAGTTATTTTGACTAATTTATGGATAGGTGATGTTACTGAGAAGGGGGTGTAAAAATACTTAATTATAAATGGTAATTTAAAACTTCGCCGTAGTGCATTTCAAACAAATATAAGTGAAAACGCTTTTTCCGTTACATGAACCGAAAAGGCCTCATGCAGCAGGGAGTTCCGCAGGAGGAAAACATTCGATAGAAGAAGGGTAGAGGGTATGGCTTGATAAAGGGAGTAGATAAGAGGAAAGGGCCAACTGCATTAGGCTGCCATCTGATACTGGAAGGAGCCTATTTTCAGGACGAGGGAACATCTACACCAAATGGATTGCCTAACTGCATATCGTTCACCTTCATCCTATCGTCTTCTCGGCAACAAATATTATTATTTGAAAAGTACAGGTGTCAAATAGATATTGAAGATGATTTTTCATCAATAATTGTCCGGATTTTGAAAGTGCATCACAAATTCATTACATTATCCACTAAAACTACAGACTCTGGACTTCCTTCCACAAAAATAAATGAAAAAAATTTTTGTTTTTACTTTAAAATAAAAAATTAAAAGACTTTGTAAAAAATAAACATTTTGGTATCGAATAAAAAAGATGTTTTTACACAGTATTAGGATGTTTTGACATACTGACCACTAATAATAATAATATTATATATATATATATATATATATATATATATATATATATATATATATATATATATATATATATATATATATATATATATTAATACTAATAATATATATATACATACATAAGGTAGTAACCATATTTGTTACTATTAACAATGTGAAATGTATTTC